CCCCCCTCCGCGCCCAGCCACATTTCATGGAGAAACCCTGCTGTGGTCTTTGGGTCAGCACTTTCCATAGGAAAACCCACCCCCAAGCCCACACTTGCCTGCATCCCCCTGACCCGCCACTCACCGGGCAGCACCAGCAGCAGCAGGACTGTGCCCAGGAGCAGGTTCATGCTGCTCTGTGTGGTGTCCTGGTTGCTCCCAGCCATCCCACAATGGTCTGCTCCCCATGTACCCTCCCCGGGCTCCCCTGAGGCTTGTGGCTGTTCCTGAGGCAACGGCTGTGTCCTTGAGGACAGAATTTCCCTTCTGAGAACCCCTCATGTCTTCTTGTGGGTTGGCAAGTGACCTCCTGCCCCAGCTCACAGTAACCATCAGAGCAGGCAGAACCATCAGAGCCATGTCCTTTCCTCCTCAGCCACTTCCATCTGACTTGGGGCTTGTGTCCTTCCCTTTTTCCCCCATCCTGCAAATCCTTGGTTGACGGCCCCTACCAGCCCAGCAATATGCCAGAGCATCCCTATCCAAACCCTTTGTAAATATCTTTAAGGTCCCTTCCAACCCAACTATTCCATGATTGTGTGACTCTAGGAAACCGGACACACCACCAGGCTTTGCCATGAGCCGCTGGGAATGAAATACCCCCCTTCCTGGGAAGGTTCCCCCTGCCCCAGCCGGAATCCCTGTAGAGGGAGATGAGCCACAAGTGGAGTATCATCCAGAAGAGGAACTGGTGGGATGGGAGACACGGTGCTGTGTTTGTGACCAGCACAGCTAGGAGAGCTGCATTCTGCCCTGCAGGCATGGAGGGAGGAGATTCCTGTCTTGCAAAACCTTCTTCTTTGGATTCCCATCCTCCAACAGCCTTCTTCTTTGCTGGGCAGTGATGGTCATAGAATCATAGAATCAACCAGGTTGGAAAAGACCTTTAAGATCAAGTCCAACCATTCCCCAGCACTGCCAAGCCCACTACTGAATCATGTCACTGAGGGCCTCAGAGTTTATGAACACTTTCAGGAATGGTGACTCCACCACTGCCCTGGGCAGCCTGTTCCAGTGCCTGAGCACCCTCTGGGGAAGAAATTGTTCCTAATCTCCAGTCTAAACTTCCCCTGGTGCAGCTTGAGGCCATTTCCTCTTGTCCTATCCCTAGTTCCAGCCGCCGCCTGGCTCCAGCCTCCTGCCAGGGAGTTGTAGAGAGTGATAAGGTCCCCCCTGAGCCTTCTCTTCTCCACACTAAACCCCTCCAGTTCCCTCAGCTGTTCCTCATCACACTTGTGCTCCAGACCCTGCACCAGCTCCACTGCCCTTCTCTGGACCTGCTCCAGCACCTCAATGTCTCTCTTGTAGTGAGGGGCCCAGAACTGAACGCAGGATTTGAGGTGTGACCTCACCAGTGCCCAGTACAAGAGTCTTTGGAGACCACAGCAGCTTCCTGAGCCATGGCATCTCCCTCTATCACCCTGACTCCTATGGCCCTGGGCTGTCAGTGCCCTGCTGGGAGCACCATCACCGGGCCCAGCTCAGCAGAATCATTTGGGATTAACACTGGGTCTTGCCTGGGATGGGACAACCCTGGCTGATAGATCCCATTGGAAAGCCCACCAATTTGCCAACATCCCCAGCAAGCTGTGCTCCAAGCAGGAACAGCTTTAATGGTCGTAAGTCTGGTGTGGAGGCACACCCACTGAACTTCTGCACCATCCAAAAATAGACATCCAACAAATTAACAAAAATAGACTATTTCAGCTGCTGGAGGGGGCTGAGGGCAGAGTTATTCTGTCTTCACTGGGGAAGGACCTTCTTGGTAACCACCAGCAAGGGCTGAAGATGGGTGGGAAAAGGCCCATCCCTGGCCTCAGGGCATGGGAGGGGACATCCAGAGGCACCAGGGACCCTGTTCCTGCCCCTTCCACCTCCTGCAACTCCCACTGCCTGGGCAAGCATCCCTTCCTCCTGCCCCAAGGATGCCAAGCCAAGAGATGCCAAGGGAAGGCTGGGGAGGGGGCTGGCAAGGGGTTCCTAGGCTCCAGCTGCTCCTGAAGTCGGTGCAGTAGCAAAGTGTATGGCATTGGTCCTTCCTGTGGCTGTCTTTGGTGCAGTGCAGCCATGGCGGGGCTCTGTCTGCTTTTGGGCTGTAGTTCAATGCTGTCGGAGCTGCTCTACAAATTGGAGGACTTCCTCGCCTGCAGCACCATGGTCCAGTACCAGAGGAAGATGAGGAAACCTGGGAGAGGAGGAAGGAAGGGTGGGTGAATCCCCCCGAGGGAGGCAGCAGCTCCTCCCCTACCTGTCACCACCCCACCAACACCCATCAGCATCCCCGGCTCACCTTGGAGGGAGTTGATGATGGTGAAGAGGTAAAGGGAGACAAGGCTGAAGACACCGGAGGTGAAGGAGAAGAAGACCAGTGCCCAGGGAATGCCCAGCAGGATGCTCAGCCCAAAGAGGGCAAGGACATGCTTGAGCTTGTGACCTTTGTTGTTCTGCCGGAGGATCTCCCGGACCATGGCCCCCAGCATGACTGAGTTAAAGAGGAACACCAGACTGAAGAAACCCAGGTTCACAATGTTATGGATAAGGGGGCTCGTGATCCAGCATCTGGAGGGAGAAGAAAGGGCAGAGGGTTACGCTGTGTCACACCACAGGGATGTGAGTTGGGGGGGCTGGGATACACATGAAGGTGTGGAGCAAGCCCAGAGCCCAACTTAGTGAGACAGGGAGGGGGGATCCCACCACCACCCTGCACAGAGGCCCAGGAAAGCCCCAGGATGGCTGAGTAGAGCCTGTAGGACACAGCAGAGGTTTAGCCAGTTGGCTTCATCTAAGACCAGGCAACCCAGTTGCAATGACTTACATGGTTGCATTGGTGGATTTGCCACCAATGGATTCATAGATGGGAATGGAGAAGGGGCCATAGTTTCTCCAGCTGGCCAAGAAGATCAGCATCACGCAGACAAAGGGAAGTCCTGGGTGGCAAGAACAGAGTGAAGGAGCCGCCCTAGTCCCTAGCCTTCGGAGCTCCTGGCAGGACTTGTTGCCCCTTTCTCCCTCTACGGAATACAAACCAACATCCTCCCCGCTAAGGGGAACTAAGAATGGAGCACACGACGACACCTAGTGTAAGCCCTGGCGCAGGACTGACTGTGCTGCATCGACCCCAGCCAGAGGATCAAACTGGGCTGTAGCATTTTAGGCCAGGAAAGATCATGAGATCCTCCTACCACATCCTCCTGCCTGAAGCGTGGCGGAGATGCAGGGGTGCTTCCAGCATCAAGCCCATCTCTGAACTGTCCAGGGTGTTCCTTTCAGAAAGAGGACCCCATTGCTATGTCACAACCATTGCTCTAGCACCAGCTTCTACCCTCAGCCATGGAGTCTCCTTCTCCATTGAGTCTCCCAACAGAGACCCCTCTGCTTTCAGACATGTGCTCCCCCTACCCAGGTGCCCTCCACCCCATGGCCTGTGCCCTCGGGGCCTCTCTGCCTCCCCCACGCTCACCCCAGCCCACCAGGCAGATCTTGAGGAGGAAGTGGTCATGGTAGGCACTGAAGACTTCAATCACAAGCCGGTAGAGGTTGTACCCCTCGATGCCCATCCAGGTGAGGCAGCTCAGGAGGGAGAAGTGCAGGAAGAGCCCACCAGCTCTGCAGACGGCCTCACTGCTACTGGAAGCTAACTGCTCAGAGATGAGGAAGGTGATGTCCAGGAGGAAGATGGCACCCAGCAGATTCATGTGAATGTGCATGCTTGTGATCTGGTCTCGCTGCTTGCTTCTGGAGAGCCAAAGTATGGACACCTCACTATCATGCCTGGCCAGCACCTTTGGTGCCCCACCACACCCCATAGCTTTGCACCGGGCAACTCGCCCCAACCAGAAAAGCACGGAGACCCTCTGGTGGTGTAAGGGGCTGAGACCCTGGCCCCACAGCTGGGATCACCATTACATGTGCAAATCCAGGCCCCTGCAGCTGAGCCCTCAGTTCAGGTCTGGAACAAGCAGGATAGGGAGCAACATAATTTCATCTCTGAATCATCCATGTAGGATCAGTGACATGACTCGGGAGAAGACACTCATATTCTCTACTGGGCCCTTGAATGATCTTTGCAGGCTTCTGCTTGTGGATCCATACCAACAACCAAAAGTCACTGAGAACAGCCAGTGTTTTTGAGCGCCCTACGGGAGATCTGACCATGGGGGTGGTTTCTGGACAGGAGAACTCTGCTTTCTTCAAGCATGGCTCCTTCATCATGCTCCCAGCCAGGCCACCCAACTGCATTTGGAAAGCTTGCACCCACCCAGGTGCAGTGGCAATGGAGAGGACACAGACAGGGAGCATCGGGTGAACTGTCACACTGTACCTGAAGTAGAGGAATAAGATGGTGCAAACAGATGCTAAAGCTGAGATCAGGCAACCAACGTAGGTTATGATACTCAGGTAATCCCTGTGTATGTAGGTGATCTCCAGGGAGGAAACCTGAGGAGAAGGAGGAATGAGATGGTGAGGAAAAACAGCCAGTAAGTAGGAACAATGTGGAGACCTGTGGAAGGACGCTACTCACCATCAACACAGCAAAGTAGGTGAGGTGATTGCATCTGCACTCTGTCCAGCTGCCCTCCGTCTCTGTTGTACAACCAAAGCTGTCCCAGCTCCCAGAGTTGGCTATGCAAGAGAAAGGGAGAGCATCTGATGAGCAGCAGGAGCATCTGCTCTGGGTTTGGGGATCCGCAGGGCAAGGTGTCTGTGGCAGGGAGGAGAACCGAAGTGGGGGTCTCAGCTAGTCCCAGGCCAAGCACACACACTCAGATACCACCCTTGGCATCAGGACCCATCCCTGGGAACGGAGAAAGCTTTCAGGCTAGGGAAAAACCTGAAATCAACCCATGGAAAAGGTTTATGGAGCTGGAGTGAGGAAGGGAGGTGCAGAGGAACTTCTACCCCTGCCAGTGGGTCTGTGGTACCCTGTAAAAGGAGCAAAGGCAGCACCTGGCTCCACAGCAAGCACAGGAGCACTCACCAGTGGTGTCCTCCTGCCAGAAGACACACAGCAGGGTCACGTTCCTCTGCAATGACAAAAGCATAGGCCCTGAGCAGGCAACAGTGGTGGGTTTGCTGCTAGGCCACCATGTTTGATAGGGAGAGCATGAGGAGAGATGGTCTCAGGAGACAAACTGTCCCATGGGAACAGGAAGAGACTGTTCTCTTG